GATATTTATATGGCCAAACAGTAAGATGAAATTCTGACTGCTTGTAAATCAATGACATCTTTATAAGAGTACTGCAGACTACTTGCATTAAATGCATATAAATATCAGCTGTCACTCTATATCTCTTAATAATATGTCTGAGTACAATGATATTTCAATACTTAGTTTAATATTCAAAGCTCTGTATGCAATGCAGTACAATGATGATTGAGAGATGTACAAATAATAATAATTGTGCATCAAATATGATGATACAGAAGGCTTTAAACGGTCAAATGCAGTTGGAATTACTCCTGAATTTGTAATGGATGGCATACTGGTAACTACTGCAACATTTTAGCATCTCACTACTTGTGTACAAGAAACATAGATGCCAGTAACCACTTATTTGCTATTTTTGATGAAAGAAACAGCAACTTGAGACGTTATGTCTATCAATTATTAGCAAACCACTGTCAATAGAGGCATGATTTAAGGTATCATTTATGTTCATGCGCAATAGATGCACAGAAAATTAAGAAATCTTTCATCAGAATAAGCATCAAAACAAGCCTTTCCTGAGGTTGTGTTTTCATTTATGACAGTCAGACAAAAAGGGTACACAGAACAATCAGAGATGAAATTCTCCAGTGAAGAAGGCTTACCACATCACTTTCTTCAGGTTTAATATTCTCCAGCCTGGAGAGAGATGGAGAGAGAGAAATGTGTGTGTGAGAGAGAGAAATAGAGAAATGAAATGTAGTGAGCTTCCTTGAGTTTCCTTTATGTCACTCTGCAAAATGAGATCACTTCCCAAATCCAGTAATTGCATTCTGTGGGTTTTGGTATGAAAGCAGAAGACACACTCAGAGATATTAAAAGTGCCACCGCTCGTGCTGTTATTCCACTGTAATGCCCATTCTGCTCAGAACTGACAGCGAATTGTTAAGTTATTAATGTTTACTACTTTATATGACTATTGGGATCAATTGTTCATATGTGTGGGGAAACGGAGAGACGGATTAGGCCTGAACCTTTTGTGCCAAACCTGCCATGAGCATCTTTATAAAGGCAAAGACAACAGTAATTATGGAGCCAAATGCCTGGAGACACACGGATCACACACTGTTGGAAATATTTATGATTTTGAAGGTTTTTCATATGGACCTTGATAACAAATGCAGAGTCACAAAGACTTGATCTTGGCTCATGTAGATCAAAGGCATGACAAGTCAAAGCTTGAGGTTTTGCAATAAATGTATAAAACATATACAGTGGGGTCCAAGAATCCAAGAAGGAAAAAAAACTGCAAGTACATTAATTATCATTTAACATAAAGCTGTATGGTTAAAAAAATTTAAACAAAATGATGATCATGTAAAATGAATAAAAAATATTTCAATTTAATTACTAAAACAAGTCTAATATTTCTAACATTATTTTAAATTATTTAAAAAAAAAATCTAAATAATAAAAAATATGTACATACTACCATTCAAAAATTTAGTGTTGGCAATATATTTTTAATGTTTGGTTTTTTAAATGCTCACCAAGGCTGCATTTGTTTGATCAAAAAAATATAGTAAAAACAGTAATATTTTGAAATATTTTTACAATTTAAAAGAACAGTTTTCTATTTGAATATATTTTAAAATGTAATTTATTCATGTGATGCAAAGATGAATTTTCAGCATCATTACGCCAGTCTTCAGTGTCACATGATCCTTCAGAAATCATTCTAAAATCCTGACTTGCTGAATTTTGTGGAAACCGTGATCCATTTTTTTTTCAATATTCTTTGATGAATAGAAAGTTCAAAAGAGTTCAAAAGAATTCATTTGATATAGAAATCTTTTGTAACATTATAAATGTATTTACTGTCACTTTTGATCAATTTAATGTATCCCTGCTTAGATTAACTTCTTTATAAAAAACATACTGACCCCAAACTTTGGAACGGTATTGTAGATACAAAAATAAGCTCTCCACTGTATATTTGTACTGCCACATTTTCACTGGTTTCAGTGAGAAACAACAGCAGGTGAACTGCAGAAACTCGCCCTGCCTACTTTTACAGACCCAACCAGCGTGATGCTCCTTTAAGAGCAAATCGAATTCCTCCATTAGCCACCAGGCAGAAAAAACAACAACCCCTCCACTCATTTACAAAGGCATTACATGGATCTCCATCCATTATAAAGGTACATACTCATTCACACAATGGACCCAAGAGTGACCTCCGAAAATAAAGGCTTAGAACACATGCGTCCATATTCCCTCAAAGATAATGGGATTCCACTTGGCTATCAATTATCTTTTTTTTTGAGAGAGGGGCCGGAATGGAGCCCTTGAACACCGCTATAAGAGGGACGCGATTTTATAATTAGATTTTGACGAGATCTTGCGCTCATTGGGCAGCCGGAAAATGCATTTCATGCCTCTCGATAATTGCGGTTCGTTTGAGTGACTTGAGTAACTATCAATAAATCATGAGGCCGACTGAAATATTAAACAGGGTGTAAGGTTATATGAATACCTCTGGAAAAGGACGTCAAGCAATAAAGAAGAGCATAAACTCATCTGTAAATTTAAAATATGTTATTGCATACTCATATATGTTGTTGTTTTTAAAAACCACAAACAGTGCTGAACAGGATATAAATGCATCTATCCCCTGGAGGGCACCGGGCAATATTCGTTTTAAAAGGCCCGTCATCAAACAACAGCACCAGTTATGAGCAGTTAAACATACAAGAAGAAGATCATATTAATTAGGACCCAGCAGGCAGGGTGGTAAATGGTAAATACTCACAGGTCTAAAGCACGGGATTGATTTCCTATAGAGTGGAAATTCTGACTGACAACCCAGTACTAGGATGAGGGGACTCTTAAAAATGTCACACCCCTCTGATACATTTCCAAACCAGTCGATATTGGATTTCCCCTCAAACCCTTGTCTGTTCATTCAGCTTGTCCTCTAGCAGGAAGAATAAAGCTGCTTCCCATCGCAACGATGAGCAAAGCCACATGCCTCTCGTGCTTCTCAAACCCTTAAATCCACTGCCTTTAAAAAACGCTGAGAAACTTTAATGGCTCTTGGAAGTGTGGAAACAAAACCTCAGGCTTTCCATTTATCACAACACAAAAGCATCTGGACCATAAAGTAAGCTTCCGAGTTATCCATTTATCAACGATGAGTTAAAAGAAGACATTAAAGAAGTTTATCAGACATATTATAATGTCACCAAACATAATCCCTTTTCACTACTTTTATTAATAGGTACAACAGAGGAAAAAAAATGAGAAGAGAAATGAGATGCGTTGAGATTTATCAAACTCTACTTACTGTAAGAGCACTAAGGCTGGGTAACATTTTGAATATATTGCAAATAATTAATATCTTCAATATTCAAAATTTATTTTTGGCAATATAAAATATTGCAAAATTTTCACAGCCATCAAACTTCTTAAAGATTGCTCCTTGTGTCATTAGGAAAGCTCTACATTACAACAGATAGTTTAATTGTGATTTTAAATTGTTTGAGTTTCCATTTATTTTCAACAAGTCTTTTAAACTACAGTATTGGTTTCAGTGAATTGGTAAAAAGAAAAATGTTGCAATACCACTCAAATAAGTTTTCAAACTGTAAAGCATGAACTGATAAGTTGTCTACCATGAATGCAATGTAAGTCGCTTTCGATAAAATTGTCTGCCAAATTCAAAAATGTTTTTACATATCCATTCAAAAGTTTGTTTTTTGAAAGACATATCTTAAAGCTCACCAAGGCTGAGTAAAGCCTTTACTGTCAATTTAATATATCTCTGCTAAATAATGTATTCAATTCTTCTTACTGACCCCAAATTTTGGAACAGTAGTGTATATATGGAGATATATAGGGAATAATGTAGCTGCATCGCCCAGCCTTAATCAGCACCGAAGCTCAACATGTCTAGACCACTAAGCCAGGGCTTCAACAAACAATGGGCCTCATTTACAAAAATAATGTTTCTGTGTAAATCATTCGTAAAACCATTCTGACAAACAATTTTCAAGTCAAAGTGACAATTTACAAACGACTTACACAGAAATTAATTCGGCTCCTGTTTTATAAACAAAACCCAATGAGTATCATTAAACAGACAATCATCAGCCTAATTTGAGTACGATGGCACAACTTTATAGACAACTTGGCAGATTATTGATTTTCATTTTTTTGAGGTGCTCCTTTGAGAGAATAGAAATGATTAGAGCAGCATGTTGTTGAACAGGCTGAACTGATGCTCTGTTTTGGAAGAGGTTTGAATGGCACATACTCCAGCGTCGCCTCCTGAAGCTTCTTTGCCCGAAGTAAAGCTTCATCCCTCTCCTCATTAGCCAGACGCAGTCTGGCCATCACAGCCTGGTCTCTCTCCCTTTGAGCCTTATAGATTTCCTCGACTAACGCTGAGAGAGAGAGAGAGAGAGAGAGAGACAGACAGAGAGAGCGAGAGAGAGAGACAGAGCGAGAGAGAGAGAGAGGTTAATATTCTGGTATTGCACTCCAGTGCTCCAGCTGCACAATAACAAGGCTAAGCTCCTCGGGAAAGAGGTTATTGCAGTTGAAACACTATGGCACAAGTATTAATAACTCTAAGTGAGCCTTATTTTGAGAAGACAGTTTCCCCTGGGGAGGTGTGCGTGTGTGTGTGTGTGTGTGTGTGTGTGCACGACTGCCCAGAGCAATAAAAACAGCAGCAACACCCTGAAGTCAGAGTTCCAGGCTCTTGGAGACTTGGAGACATTTTATTTATGAAATTTCAGCATGGAAACACTCTGGTTTATCAACATTGTACGGGAACAGCAAGCAATTACACCAGGCTCATGAATGTCAGAAACCATCAGAAAAATATCCTCATATAGGAGGACAAACATGACTGTGTTTGACCTACAGGCCTCAGAAGGTCCACGGGCATGCTGACGTACGCATTTCCAAAACAATATAGGAAATTAAGTCCCCTAGTGAATGAATGAACTAATGAACGAACAAACAAGCAAATGAACAAACAAATGATGAATGGGTCCAAGGGCATACTGACGAGTCTCCAACAATCTCTAAGCAATACTTGAGACAAAGGCTGCTATCAAATATATATTACTAAATGAATGAATGAATGAGTAAATCAACAAACACACAACCAAATAACGATTGAATGAATGAATGAATGAATGAATGAATAGGCCTATGGCAAAGCAATATTGACTGCTAGCAAACATAAATGACTGAACAAACGAACAAACTAACAAACTAACACAAAAGAATAATGAATAAATAAATAAACAAATAAATAAATGAACAAACTAACAAGTAAAAACAAGCAAAAAATGAGCCAATTTCCAAAGCATAATTGTATACGCAAATATAAATTACTGACTGACCAAACAAACAAACAAAAAGAAATGAATAAATGAATTAACAATTGAAATATAAATTAAATAATGGAAGTATCCATGAGTCAATTTCCAATGCATTATTACACACAAAGGCCGCTAACAAATATTAATGACTGAACAAACAAACAAACAACTGAACAACTGAATGAATGAATGCAAAGAAATGAACCAATAAATAAATAAACATATGAACCAACAAGCTAAATTATCTATGAACCAATTTCTAAAACCTTATAACACACAAAGGCTGCTAGCAAAAATATGGTAAAGGGCGTAACATTTCCATCACACGCTTGAGGTATTCGGCCAATCACAACGGACTGGATAGCTGGCCAATCAGAGCACACCTCGCTTTTCAGACCGATGAGCTTTGTAAAAATCGACGCATTTCAGAAAGGCGGGGCATAGAGGAGAAACAATAATGTCTAGTATGTGGAAAATAATGTGTTTTTTTAACCTTAAACCGCATAAACATATTTCATTACACCAAATACACAAAATGTTCTTTTTATCAACATCATATGACCCCTTTAATGACTGAACAAACATACATACAAACAAACAAACAAACAAACAAACAACTGAACAACTGAATGAATGAATACAAAGAAATGAACCAATTAATAAATAACCGGATGAACCAACAAGCTAAATTATCTATGAACCAATTTCTAAAACCTTATAACACGCAAAGGCTGCTAGCAAATATAAATGACTGACTGAACAAATGAACAAATGGACAATCAAACATGAATGAATGAATGAATAGCAAATGAAATAATGGACTAACAAATTAAATGATTCATGATCCAATTTGCAAAGCATTATTACAGTCCAAGGCCACACCAAGAAATAAAGGAATTAATTTATTAAAATGGACAAAGGACACATGAATGAACAAAATAACAGAAAAACAAACAAACAAAGAAGGTTTGAAGAAATGCTTGAATGAAAACAAAATAAACAAACAAGCAGACTCCAGCTAAGAAAGTTTTGATCAAACATGCACTGATTTTGATTCACGCACCCGACCTGACCTGCACCAAACTCAAAAATCAAGCAGACAGTTTGGTAAAAACCACAGGATTTTGGCATTACCAAACGGTCCTTGGCACCATCTATAATCCCACCGAAAGCAGCACAGTTATCCATCACTCGCATCAATTCTTTCCTGCATGTTACGATAAACAGTCATTCCCACACTAAGCCACTACAAAGTTCACAAAGCAAATCAATATTGCTGGAATTTGCTGATTAAACATCTCCAACCTGAACCATACAAATCATATTGGAATGAGGGCGGTGAATTCATGCATTATCATTGCCTTATTAAATGAACAATTTGGCTACCTAATTGTGTGTCATATATATCATGTGTCACATGTTTCCGTTTAATTAACAAACTCTGAGGTGGCGCTTTTTAGCTAGTTAAGATCAAATGAAAAGTGAATATTGGCTAAATTTAAATATTTGTTCAGCAAAGGTGAGGAGCGTGTAGATTTCATTGACAAAATAATCAGTTACAGAGAGGAATGATCACTTCTGATGAAGGCGCTTTATGTTAGACATACTGGTTTATGTTTACAAATGTCAAAGTGTACTTTTCTCGGGTTCTGCTGACATGTACTAACTAATTAATTAAAAGTGTTTATTCTTCAGCTGTGTTGGAAGGTCAGACGCTTGCATTTAGAGATCTATGCAATGTCACACCTCACATTAAACAGATACAGGGGTGTGAAGTAACGAATTACAAATACTCACGTTACAGTAATTAAGTAGTTTTTATCAGTAATTGTACTTTTTTGAGTAGTTTAAAAATTGTGTACTTTTACTTGAGTACATTTTAAGTGATGTAGGCTACTCTTTCACTCTTACTCAAGTAGTTTTTTTGGACAAGTACTTTTACTCTACTCACTACATTTTTTGGAAGGTAATGGTACTTTTACTTGAGTATATTTTTTCAGTACTCTTTCCACCACTGAACACATAAAAAAGGTAAATGCTGCCATATTAAATGAGTCTACTTAATCTTGATTCTTTCCAACCATTTATATTTATTTCTTCACCCATGTGTCCTACCTGCTGCTCTCTCACTGGCACACGCCTCCTGCTCAGCCTCCTGTAGCTGAGAGTTCAGCAGCTTGGTTTCCAACTCTTTCTCCTTCAGCACCAACCTGTCCTGGAGCTGCAAACACACAAGACATAAGTATAACTTTATAACTGAGTTCATGAGGTCAACAAAATAAAGAAATAAACAACATACCTGCTTGGATAAACACTCATTTTTGTTTTGTTTGTGTCACTTCCACATTCTACCAAAAACTGTAAATTAATAATAAAATTGTATGAAACTGCAGAACATTTCAAGTCATAAAATTCACCCAAAATGCTTACCAAGGCTGCATTTGGTCAAAAATACAGTAAAACGGTAATACTGTAAAATATTATTACAATTGTACAAAGTAATTTATTCCTGTGATGCAAAGCTGAATTTTCAGCATAATTACTCCAGTCTTTAGTGTCAAATGATCTTTCAGAAATCACCACTCAAGAAGCATTTCTTATTATTATCAATGTTAAAAAAACAGTTGCGCTGCTTAATATTTTTGAGGAAACTGAATTTTTTTTTCAGGATTCTTCAATTAATAGAAAGTTCAAAAGAACAGAACTGTTTGAAATAGAATTTTGTAGCAATGTTTTATTGTCACTTTTGATCAATTGTATGTGTCCTTGCTGATTAAAAGTGTTCATTTCTTTAAAAAAAAAAAAAAACTCACCCCAAGTAAAACATTGTAATGGTTTAATTTTAAATAGGTTTAATTTTCTTTATGCAGAAAATAATTAATTATGACCTGAATATCATACTGTATATTGGCATCTGTTGGCCACACTTTCAATGAAAAACTCATATCAGCCAACCACAACTTTATAACCACTGCATCAAGCTTTTGTATTTGCACTACTACATCATATGATTCAGGACTTATAAAAAAAGAGGAACTGTCATGTCTTGGCTGTAAATCTGGATTGGTGAGTGATATTTTACGAGCCTCTCAATGATAGATTTAACCTCCTGTCTTAAATATTTTCATCCCGTCTGTTTTTGTCCTCCCGGACTTTGAAAACATGACGGGTTGGGCCAGAGTCCTCAAAGGGCTCTCTCGGATCACTGCCAGCAAAAACACACACTTGGGACATGTTCCTGCCCTTCTGTCAGGAGTCACAACTACTTGCAAACCTGGGACATCAATTACAGTCGTTTCCCCCCCTCTCTGACCCCTCAAGTGACAGGTCTCCAGATGGGTGCAGATATGCCACATACACTGACTAACACAATTTCAAGGCTCTACTCCTACGTCCCGAAAGAACAACGATGGAGTAAGTATATATAAAGCAGAATGCAATGCAGTTTACTAGAGGTCAACAACTACTTCTGCCCTCTTAGATTTCTGTCCCTTCCTGGCCACCTGATGTATAGTGATGACTTTTTACAATGCAATCAACCTCTGATGAATTAAACTAAATCCCGCCATCACATTATAGAAGTAAAATGAGTTGCAAGCACAAACTTCACAGATATTAAACACTTATCTTCACAGATATTAAACATTTTCAAGTACTGCACTACCCACAATCGCAGAACTCACTGTTACCATGGAAACAGAAATTGTTGCAATCAGCACAGCATTGAGTTTTTTCAACCCAATTCCGACTAGCTTGGCAACATTTGCTAACAAAAGCTAGCTACCTACCTAAAGTTAGTTAGTTAATATGGAATGCATGGTTAGAGTATAAAGGACACTAGTGCCATTAGATAATAAAACGACAGATTGAGTGTGAACTGCAAAAGTATGTCAATGTTTGCTAACTTAAGCAGAGCTGCTAGGAAAGGCACATATGAAATTATTTTAGCAAAATTAGTTATGACTTGTATCTGTGTTCATGTAGTGAAAACGAAACAAACTAATGGCACGATCCTGTCTGACCTGGAATTTCGAATCTATAAGTCTATGTGGCTGTTGTAACTTTTTAGGTTAAATGAATGCAGCAAAACAACAACTGAAATATGTTGAAACTTTCAGAGTGTTGAAAACTTTTCATGAAGCACAAGACTAACAACCTAAATTTCAAAAAGAAAGCTAGTCTAGTCTGTTTGGATGAGCGGATTACAAAACAAATCAATCAACGAGTAAAAATGTAGACCGTGGTGAAGGACTAATAAACCTAAATAAAATTTTCGACAGGAATGAAAAAAAGGATGTGAGGGATAGAAGTACAGTGCGTTCAATGGATTGTACTGTTGTTTAACAACATACTGATTGTTCAACTAGCAAAACATCTTTCTGAAAAAATTTTCACTAGACAAAAACTCCATAAAACAGTTTTGAAAGTTGTGAGTTGTGAAAATTACATGAACCAGTACAAGACTGTAAGTCTATCCCTCACGGCCTCGTTTTAAGTTCGTGTTAAGATCGGGAACAGAATGACTGACTTCATGAACATGTGAATTCACCTTCTTATTGAGGTCTCTAAGGGAATCCAGCTCCTTCAGGAGAAAAGCAATGTTTTTCTCTCTATCCAGAACTGGGACTTGCTTTTTGGAGTCGCTGATAACTTTGGAATTTCCCTGGTCCTCATGAGCATGAGCATGCCTTCAGAAAAGACAAAAGTTCATTAGAAATACTCTTATATTAAACTCCCAAACGGGCAACAAAAAATGAATCATTCACATTCTGACATGCAATTATCAAATACACAAGGGATGCGGTCTCCCACTTTCAAGAATATTACTGTGACTTATTTACTTTGAGATATTAGTCAAATCATACAGTTGACCTTTAAGGTAATATTAAAGTATTACTGCACTGTATTGCACGGTAAATTACTTCCCTCTTGTAGCCTCTTCAATTCGATTCAGTTCTTATTAAGGAGGCAAAGAAAATGCATTGGAATCTATATTTATAGATTCACGCTGCGATATAATTAAAATCATCTTACAATGGACAACCATGCTAAAAGTGAATATTACTGCTATATTCATATTCTATAAAGGCCTTCTCGATAGTACTCAAGACAGATGAAACTAAACAACTGTTGCATATGTTTGCAATGGCACACTATCTACTATTTTTTAAAGAAATTAGTAGTATGCAATATGAATACTTTGCACAGTATGCAAATTTTAGTACACACAGAAGAGTTGGATGACCTACTACATTTGTGTGGTATAACATTATATACACCATTATAACATATATATTATAACAAATACACCATTTATTTGTTATAATTATTTATTATTAGAATTATATTACATATAGTCCTGCAGATTTGCTTTATAAAACATTAGAAAGATTAGACCCTTCCTATCAGAGCAGGCCACACAACTCCTTGTCCAAGCTCTTGCTCCCTCCAGACTGGACTATTGTAATGCTCTCTTACGGGCCTTCCTGCATGTACTATCAAGCCTCTGCAACTGATCCAGAATGCAGCAGCGAGAGTTGTCTTCAACGAGCTGAAGAAAGCCAACGTCACACCTCTCTTCATCAGTTTGCACTGGCTGCCAATAGCCGCTTGCATCAAATTCAAGGTACTGATGCCTACAAGACAACTACTGGCTCTTCTCCAATATACTTAAACTCACTAGTTCAGACTTATGCGCCCTCCAGAAGCTTGTGTTCTGCAAGTGAACGACGCCTCGTGGTGCCATCCCAAAGAGGCACAAAATCACTCTCACGGACCTTTTCTTAGACTATTCCCAGCTGGTGGAACGACTCAATTCCAGCAGGTGAGTCTTTAGCCATTTTCAAAAAAACGTCTAAAGACACACACACAACAAGGAGTATAGCATGCAATATACTACATATATTGCACAGTATGCAGTATGTAGTATGGTAGTATTCCATTTTGAACATAGGGTAATTGTTTCTAGTCAACTGGAAAACTAAAACTAACTAAAGAAAACACTATCAAGAAATAGAAAAGTAAAAACACAAAGGCTGATGCTAAAAAAAAGCTGCAAACTAAAATTAGAATACATTTTTCAGCCCTAATAGTGATTGGATTGTTATTACTCAGTGTAAATGAGTGCGTCCGTGTGTGAGTCTCTCTGTTCTCCTGACCTGAGTACGGCAGACCCTGCCCTGCTGACGTTAGGTGTGTGGACCGGACTGCTGGCTGTCTCGTTAATATCCTGCTCCTGCTGTGCCACAGGTCTCTGTGGAGACCGTCTCTCCTCCTCCATGATTCTCACTTCAGCTGCAACTGGGCCTGGCACGGGCGGGGGTGGTGGGAGTCTGAGCGTCAAACCTTCTCTGGGCTTGGGAATCTTAGATGCTGCACGAAAAAAAAACAGAGTAAGAGTGAGCAAGAGCCACAATAACATAGAAAGGGCAATAATTATTTCTTTCACTTCATTGCTTCACTTTTATAGTACCACCAGGTGCTATCATGTTCCAAAACATTTTTAAAAAGCCAATAAAGTTCTCCATATGGCTATTACACTAAGTTGGCTTGCGATGACTATTGATTTGGCCCGACATGCAATATCACAGGAGGGTGGGAAAATGTCACACACATCTTCATTTCTAAGTGATCTTTTTGTTTTATTTTTTGCATTGAAATCTAGAGAATATTAATATAATATAATGCAACATTTATTTTCATCCCATGGCCCTCAATCAAGTTTTTGTCCTTCGTTGTAGACAGGTTGGGCACCTCTGATTATTACCATTATTATACCATGGCTTTGTGTGAAGAACAGAGTGAAATTGAAGTCTCATTCACTGGAAATCTTCTTCACCACTACAATGGCTCTCAAATCTCATTTATGCGATTGAAATATCCTCCTATTCAAATTTGGCACAATTTGATTAGTTATGAGACACATGAGAACAAATGACAGTTGGGATTATTTACTTCAAATCTGGTGTCATGTTTTTTGACCTGCCATATTTGACACGAACATGAGTGAGTTCTGAGAACTGCACTGCAGTTAAAAAAAGATTATCATTGAAAAACGACTTAAATTTCAGCCTTTTACTCACACAAATGACTTGATATTAAGCTTTTAGTCATTTTTGGATCACTACTGACATTCATTATAAGGAAAAGCGCATAATAAAAGAAAGAAAATCATACAGAATTTATTTTTGGGTGAACAAATACATCCAAATTTAGATTCTTTTATCCTCCACAATTACAAGCTAGTAAAAAATAATTACCGTTTTCAAACAGGTTTTCCAAACATTCCCCTGTCTGTTATCAATCGCCCATGCAGACAATCCCGCCCCAAACTAATGCTATTGGTTGAGTCAACGTTGGAATGCTCAAACAAATAGAGCATGTTTCAAAAGCGCCACACTGTTTAGACTATTCAGTGGAACCAACCTAAAGCTGACTCCATATTAAATAAAAAAGTATTTTAGCATCCAGAAAAAGCTTTAGGAGCTAAATGAAAAGGAAAACCCACAAGAAAGACGTTGCAACCATAACATATAAGACTTCCATTCTTCTGCTGTGAGATTACAGTCTGACCGTTTGAAAGGCAGCTCTGTTGGTTGGTTTGCGTCAGATTTCTGAAAAGGAAACTAGGTCTGGCCGTCTTTCACGAGGGAATGTGGCGATCCGTGCCGAGTGACTGGCAGGAGGGGGAAAACAAGGTCTTCTGTCAATGTTTCTGTAGCACTCAGGGCCAGAGATACAGGCGGAGAGGCAAACACAGAGGCCTGTCTCTCTGGCAGCCTTTCTGAAAACGTGCTTTGCTCCTCAGGGAAAGCTGGATGTAACCCGGATCGTTTGTGATCAAAACCAAAGAGCGACGGCCCCTAAATCAGAGACATATTAAACGAGTGCAAATTTGTGATGACAAAACTGGTCAAGATAGAGACTTGAAAGATACAACAAATGTTGAAATTGTGAGAAGCAGAGGGTGTTTAAACTACTTTTAAAGGTAAAGTGCGTAATTTCTAGGTAAAAACAATGTATTTTAAACAGGTTTCCTGAATTTGTCTGCCATTGGTCAGCCAAACAGATACTCCCTCCCCCAAATTCACACCATTGGTTGAGTGTTGCTGGGTGGGGCTGGTCGGGATTCTCAACAAACAGAGCAATGTTTTGATAACGCCACAAAGCCACAATGTTTGCACATTTCAGTGGAATCAACCTACAAATGGTTTCCTTACAGCAGGAAAGAAAAATGACACACTTCAGCTTTTACATCTACAAGCAAATTAAACAGATAGTAGCACTAAGTGCATGCACAAGGTCAAGTGCTACATAAAAAAGCCACCTGGCCGTCCTGCGATTATAAAATATACATAAATCAGTTCAACATCAGTGCAATTCAAATTGAGCAAAACTCAAACAACAGAGCGCTTAAATCAAAAGCATCAAAAAGGGGGAATCATTCGGCGTTAATAAATGAGTTGTGATGCTCGAGTCTTGCGACCACGATGTCCAAAAAGCTCCAGCTTAGCCGCCACAATTATTTAGCGAAAGGTCAGGTTTTGAAGTCGAGATCAGGGAGGTCTGCCTCATGGCTTTGTTGCTAGGGCTCTGCTCTCAGGATTGCTGGAGACAGTTATTAGTATTCCCCGTAAGACTCACCCGTGCAAACACGAAATTCAAACCATGAATAATAACGCCAAACACACTTATAGAAGCCCTTTGTCACACTGCAAATATGCGACTTTTGGATACATTGTTCCCTAACCTGGGTTACTTCTTTAATTTTATCTCCCTCTCCGGGTGTCTCTCACAAAGGTAACTGCCCCTGAGAATGTGTGTTTAAAGCGCCATTTCCCTCACAAATGGGGTGAACGTGGCTTTTAATCTAAGTGTGCAAAGTAAAGGCCCATTTCTTATGGGAACCAAGTATGAAAGGACTCAACATTAAGAGCAAATTCAGAACTGAAGAATTGGCTCCCTTTCAAAAGATGAGTGTGAATTTGAATTGAATTGACCACAAACCACATGATACTGAATTTGAATTTGAATTAGAATGACAGGAAGGGGAATTTAATGAATTTAATTTGAAGAAACTGAATACAGTTATACAAGAAATGACCTACATTTGTCCACAACAATAAAATGGGCAAGAATGGATAACTTGGATGTTCAGTTTGAGGTTTTAATTTGACACACTTTTTGTAATTGAGTAATTAAGTCTATTTCAACAGTGGTCCATAAAATAAAATGTAAAATATTAAATATAATAATATCATATCATATGTATTAAATATCTAAATACATAAAAAAATAGTGAATGTGCTGTTTGAATCGTGTTAATTTAGAATTTCATTCCATTTTAATTCTACTTTCTTAAATGCAAATTTGAATTCTGCATCTTGTTTGCTGCCTCAATTCAAATCCAATTCAAATGTAGCAATGTTCATAATAGCCATTTAAAAAGTATTCTTAATTCAAATCTAAATGGTGCAAAAAATGATCAGACATGACCATTTCTCCTCCATTCACTCTACTAACGGTCTCGTGCCACCTTACTAATGTCTGTCACTAATAATCAAACACAGGCTGATTAACCGCCTGCAAAAAGATTGAAGTGTTTCACCAACAGCCCAAATGTATATTTGAGCAGTGAGGCAGAATAAATTTGCATATCAGGAGCGTCTGGTGAAGGGTTGGTAAATACTCTGTTTATCTCTCATTGTCATTCCAACCAGTCTATCTAAATAGTGGCTCTTCCACAGCGTTATGGCCTAGGTAAAGTTATTACGTAGCAGCCCGGCATTATGGAATAATGTAAACAAATGTTTATGTAGATAAATGAATAAATAAATACATGTAAATAACTGTTAATATACTATATAGAGCATTTAAACATCGGGAAGCCTGTAAAACAAGCCTTTAGTCATAAAAAGAGACACATTCTGGCAGAAATGCAGATGGAAATGGTTGCAGCACAAATAGTAAACAAATGAGGCAAGAAAAAAAGAGACTTATAACTGTAAAATAACACAATTAACTTTTTAATAAGATATGTTATTGATGTGATTTGTTGTGATTGGATTGCAATTATCATGGCCACAATAAAACTAATTTATAATTCATTACCTTGTATGAGTTTCTCCTCCAGGGCTTTTGATAAACTCTGACATTGGGATGTAGCGGAGGTAGTTTCAACTAAAGAGGATCTGAAAAAAAAAAAAAATGTGTGTGAAATGTATAAATATGCAAAACAAAAATATAAAACCAACACTATTTTGTCTCCTTCGATATCTAACAGCAGTGCACTTTGTCTGACACACTCAGGTGAAGACAGGTACAGGATATTGACAAACTGTACATCAATGCCACTGCTTTGAAGGAGCTGCATGTTTAGTTTCAAAGCGCTGAGTAAAGCAAGGACATGAAGCAAATATCAAAGACCTTCAACAGTTCTGACCCAAAGAGGACAGAGTTAACTCTTTTTACAAGTCATATTCTTCTGCAAAACAAACACAATAATCAGTGTCAGACGTAAATAAAAATACTACTAAATTTGCAATATATATTGCTTTTAAACACTAAAAATGTAAAAATATAGCCAAATGTACTTTAAACACATTGCAAACTGAGCTAATTTATAATTTCAGTATACACAATGTGTACTTTCACTATACACAAATAAAAAACAAATCAACAACTTAAATTTTACAGGTGTATATTGCTTTAAAATGCTATAAATATAGAATTTACAAACCAAATTCACATTTAAATTGTTCAGTGATGTTCAGCAAATTTCATTATATAAGTTGTAGTTCTCTACAAAAACAGAGCAATTCTACTGCAAAGTGTAAATCGATAAATTTGTCATAAATAATAACTTAAATACAAGTTTAAATCATAAAGTGAGCCAATTCAGTACAGAAATGCTTTAAAATAATTAACATAAAATCTTTCATTGCAAAATACATTTCACCTGCAACCAATTTACTTTTGCATCACACTAAGGATGAACAAACTAAACTAGCAGCTGATTTTTAAACATTGTAACACCGTTTTGGATTTAGAAAACACATCTCTGCAAAGATATCATTACAGCGCGCCTGCAATGTACACTGATAAACATTTCGCACATATTAAAAAATCGTCCTTAATTGTAACACGTGGAAGAAAGCCATTGACAAACAGTGTAAAATGAGCCGAGGAAGGCATCTTTACCCAAGTTGTGGTGTGGTCTCTGAACAATGGTGCTTTACAGGGGACGGCAGCCTTTGTTTCAGTTCTTCATTGACTTTAGGATTAGCTGGAAATATATAGAAGGGGTATGATTAATTTCACTGCGGAAAAAAATGCTTTTCATTCACAGGCTCTAGCTCACTCCTTTTCCATTAGCCTTAGAAAGGTTAGTATTAATTACAGCCTGTCAATATGATCTCGGGGTGCTTGGTGGAGAGCAATCTTTAATAACGTCTGGAGTAGAGGCAGAAAACAAGACAGGCGGCTTTTAATTTGCTGTGTGAAATTATGCTTTAAGACTTTGTCTTTATCTCATCCACTGTGTACCAGTGCTTTACCTCGCAGTTTATGGAGGACTAATGAACGCGGGCAATTAACAAAGCGTAATCCCACCATGCAATCGTTTTAATGCTTTTAGCTATCAGAAAAGTAAACAGCCATTTAATACAGCTCAAGCCATATCAGATCCTAGTCAGGAAGCGCCAATTAAAGCGTCATCTACTCAGGTGTAATTAAATAATGGTGGATAATTTAGTTCCGTGAACGGAAGCTAATTCATAAGCAAGCAACAAACAGACAGGAGGCAATAAGCAGGAACGCTGACATTCAGACGGCAGAGCCTGTTGATCGCTGGAAGTAGGAGCCGTGGTGGAGAGCTTCCCTCTAGTGGTGGAGCTTCTGAGACAAGAACTTCTTAACACAACACACACCGGGGGCTTACAGGCGTAAACACTTACCATTTCAGTCCTGTCAACTGTAGGTGCTTTGCGGTGTCACATTCGCAAACCAAATGAATGCAGAACAGCTTCAAGAAAGGGTCGGACTGAACCAGGCAAACGCAGAATGTTTCCCTCGTGTTTCCTGGTTGGTTCTTTTTTGGGAACCACTTTGGTTAGGAAAACCTTAATAAGTCACAAATGTCTTCTAAAAGGTTCCCACTTCCCACACCACCAGGATTTTCAACAAAAATCTGAGACTGCACTCACAAAGTGCAATTTCTAGCCAAAGCAATATTTTAGAGCTTAAAAAACACTTTCCCTGACATTTCATATTGTATTAATTCATATTATAGCATTTCCAATTGTAAAAATGACCTAATATTTCCAGTTGGAATCCTGCATTTTTTTGCAAAACATACAACATACGGTGAACACAAAACACAAAAACAGCAATAAAATCCTGCATCTTGGCTTAGAAAGCTCTTCTGGAATGAAAGATTTTGTTCTTCATGCATCTCTTAAACATTTTCAATTTTCTGTGCTGAACTGCTCATTATGTTTAACTAAAAGACCTCATGAAACCATTGGATTGACACATTTCATTTTCTGTGTTGATGTACACTACCGTTCAAAAGATTGGGGTCAGTAAGATTTGTTTTTGAAAGAAATGAATACTTTTATTTAGCAAGGGTGCATTAAATTGATGAAAAGCACTGTAACTGTAAAGACATTTATAGTGCTAAAAAAATATTCCTTTCAACTTTCTATTCATCAAAGAATTCTGAAAAAAATGTATCACAGTTCCCACAAAAATAACTTAAGAAATGTTCCTAAGCATCAAATCAGCATATTAGAATGATTTCTGAAGGATCACGTGACACTGAAAACTGCTGAAAATTCAACTTTGCCATCACAAGGAAAAAAATATAATTTAAAATCTATTCAAATAGAAAATGTTCTTTAATGTATATATTTTTTTACAGTAGTTTCTATATAAATGCAGCATTTATGAGCATAAGAATCTTTAAAAAACAAATCTTTTGAATGGTAGTGGTCTACTTAAGAAATGGCAAAACATATCAAAATGCCTTTTTTAAATAATCAACAGGCTTTAGTTTAAATCATATCAGTGAATTATGACTTGCTACTTGCTATGTAGAAAGAATCTTGGACAAAACTGATCAAGATTGGACAAAAATTTGTATAGGCCCATTGTTTATTTTATTTTATTATGTTTATTTATTTATTAAGGTTAATTTGATCAACCTTTCGGAGCACACTACCAAAGCACATAAATGACCACAAAGTTAACAGACATTTTTAAAAGCCACACTCTTAAAAACAAAAGGTTCTTTATTGACATCCATAATTTTTTATAGGAAAAATTAAAAAGATATTTAGATTATTAAAATGTTCTTCACACTTAGAACCCAAAATGGTCCTGCTATGGCACTGCTGTGAAAACCTCCTTGTGAAACCCTTATTTTTAAGGGTGAAAAATTCAACTATTTTTAATTCCCAGCATCTTTAAAGATGGTATATGTAAATAAGAAAAACCACAGGACAAACAATGATCAGTTTCTTGGGAAAAGGAACCAAAGCTCATGAAAACGATATAGGGGAGGGCAGACAGCATGAGAGAAAGTTGGCAGAAGAGAGCTAAGAAGACATAAAAAGTGAGTGCTCTTGGGAGGTTGTGCGCGAGGCGGGTGGGGGTGACCCCTGGGGCAGATGCCAGTGGAACGTTATCCCCGCGCTGTAAACCAGCACACACCGCTCACACAGCTCACACGCTATTCAGCTCAGACACAGTCAGGCGTGAACGGACAACTGGCTTTTTGTGCCAAACACCACAGGGCTCCATTAATCTCAGTGATAGACTCTGAGCGGGAGCTGGCCCCGCACACCGCACTTTCACAGAGAAAGAGAGGAGGACGAGGATGAAGAAAGACTTTAAAGATAGTAGGTACGGCTAAGACGCCTGGTAATCCGTTACCACTAACAAGAGAAAGCAGCTTTGGAAAAGACAGAAATGGGGAAAAAAACAACACAAAGCATACAAACCTGACCTTTTGATGTTCACGTAATTTTCAGCGAGACACGTTAAACAGTTCCCAGAAAAGAGCGCTTTACCAAATCAATTTGGACCGATTCATTGATTGACACCGTTTCCTGAGAGAACCACCCCCAAGAAACTTAATGAAACTGATACTATCCAATAATCCGATATTGAAAAACAGGGAAGAGCTCGTTCTGGCTTAATGAAAGTTTGAATTGTGCTGAGTGGCAATAGGAGGCCTGTTTCATTGCGGCTCCTGCTCCAGATGGTGAATTAGCATCACTTCTACATTTTCTGCATAATCTGCAGGAGTTTCATGATAGATTAATGAGCTATTAGCCTTGGTGCTCGCAGGGCAGTGACGAAAAACTACATTCACACCAAAGCTTGCAGAGCTACACATGCTACAATGAAGCCAATAACCAGTCATTGTGTATAAACAGTGGCTCTACGGCTAGTTGAGGAGCTGATTTAAATCAAATCAGAGTTTAATTGCATTTTATTCCTCTTAAGTAAATGCTCAAATGATTACATAAATCACAAACCTAATAGCTAAACAGTTAAAAGTACCAAAAGATAAGTTAACGGTCACCGATTGAATTAAAGTGTGTGATTTTTTTTAATGTTAAAATACTGTCTTATTTCAGCTTCAAATCCAGAAATTGTAATATATTCACAAGTTGACTGCCCAAAAATATATTAATATTGTGGCACACAGTAGCACTATCTCAACCAATGGTATGAGTTTAGGGCGGGACTATCTGTTTGACTGGTCAAGGCAGACAGAGATATGTTCGGGAAACCTGTTTGAGAACAATTACATAAAAACATTATTTTTGCAATTTCATTTTGTGATGCTAGTGGTGAATAAATCTAAGCTTAGGTTTTTCTTAAAAATTATATATGTATATCTATATCTATATAATATTAATATACTCTATTATTTTTCTATACTGTGGTAATTACAATGTGAAAATGTGTCTATGAGAGCAATTTAAAAAAGTATCTGTCAACTCTCTAGACTTGTGAAAAAGATACAAAAGAGAAAGCTTTTCCTTCAGATAACGTTGAATATTTCATCAATATTCATTCACGGGGATAAAACATGAGTAAATAAAGAAACATTAATAGGTTAGAAGCCCACATCAAATGTAAAAGACAGCTCAAATCTTGCAAAACAGCATTTGCCACTTAAAGCCACTTTATCCTTCCTTCAAACTTTTCTCATCTCAATTTGTCCTTTGCTGTCACTCAGTGATCTTCATTTTCCTGTCTTGTAGACTTTAAGCTAATTGCCTCGGTGGGCTACTTATTATTCATGTACAATTATTGCAGTGTAATGTCTTTAAATCCTTTTAAATGACCATTCATGCATCGCATTCATTGAAAATGCCTTTGATGTATGTCAAAGATGGAATTCTTCAAAAAGAAATGTCTAAGCCCAATTTCAATCGCTCGAAGAGGGGGGTTTGGCGTTTCCCTCTAATATAAACTAAATTCCATTAATTTTTTAAGCTGCATTTAATGCATTTCCTCCGCAAAAACTTTCCAGATTCTTCAGGCTGTCATTTGTATTCCAGCTGACTTTATGAATATTAATAACAGTGTTATCCTGATTAAACGGGCTTCATGTGAAATCCCCGTGAATCTACAAGCTCAGGATTCTCGTCTTACCGATACTTTATGAATTTTGATACGGACATTAATGTGGAGAGAGTCTTAAAGCAGGTTTAATTGTACAGCATGCTTGTTCCGCAGAAGGAAAAAGGCAGACATGAATTGATTTGATATGGATAAACAGGCTCTTTTTTATGGGGAGGTGCACACAAGCACCTGGGTGCACCCCGCTGTGTAATTTGATTGTCACGGGCTGTCACGAAGCTTTGAATGGTCTTGACTTTTCCTGGATCAAAAGATTTTATTGACTCGCTGACAGATATTAACAACAGAAACTGTTTTTGTCAATCAGTTACATGTGCTGTAGGCCGATTCCATCTCACTGGAGGGCTGGTATTTGTTTCCATTTTCCATCTGTTAATGCCGATTAATGAAAACTGTTTCTGACTCAAAAATAACTGCAACTGAACGAATGAGAGTGGAGACAAAACAACAATTTGATTTTAAAAACTTGCAAAAGTTAAAAGCATTAAAGCAAACTATATAATGTCAGAGAGCACCACTGAAAATGCTTCTATTAGGCTTCTCTCATTTAATAAATAATAATAGAGTTATAAATAAATGCAAAAAAAATAATACTTATGTATTGAATTTAATCAATAAATGATTCAA